TTTTTTTTTGTAAGAAGAAAAACTGAAGGGCCAGGGATTTAGCTCAGTGGTTCCGCCGCCTGCCTTGTAAGAAGAAACACTGGGTCAGGTAGGTAGGAGTTGGCTTACCAAGTATTAAAAATCTACACCTACAAAAAGGAGACACACCTGGTTTAGGACAGATAAGAAACAGAACAGAAGGTTCACCACGAAGCCCAGAACTGGGCATGGTAGCTCATATCTGTAACTGTAGTATTCAGGAGGCTGAGGCAGGAGGATCACTCAGAGTTCAAGGCAAACTTAGGCTACATAGCTAGTCAAGGCTAGCCTGAGCTACACAGGGACACTCTTTTTTAAAAAAGTAAACAAAAACAAAAAGCAAAAAAAAAAAGAGAGAGAAAGAATCCCAGGTTTATATGGGAATTTAGTACAATAAAGACATCATTCAACTAACTGTCCACTCATTTACTAAATGATATAACTAAATCCCTAACTTACACCATTATCCCTACACAAAAGAAAAAGATCCAAGTGTATTAAAGAGAAAGATTTTTTTTAAAAAAATCTATAAACCCAGTAGAGTGGTACAAACCTGTGTTTCCAGTCACTCAGAAGACTAAGGCAAATGAATCACCTGTGCTCAGGAATTTCAGCCACCATGGGCAACAGTGAGACTGTTTCTAAATAATTCTCTGCATTGAGGAGGCTGAGGCAGGAGGATTTTAAATTCAAGGTTAGCCTAGGATTCATAGTGAACCTGAAGCCGGCTTGGGCTAGACAGGGAGACTCCGTCTCAAAACAAAAGGATCAGGGTGGGGATTTAGCTCAGTGGCTCTGCTGCCTGCCTCAAAAGCGAAAGGTCCCAAGTTCAAGACCCAGTACCAAAAAAAAACAAAAAAAAAACCTGTTTTTATTTCACCAAACAAAAATTAAAATCTTTTTTCAAAAAATGTCAAAAGATGAACAAATGATGCAGAGAAAACATTTTTAGTGTTCTACACATTAACCAAAGAGAGCTTCTTTTTTTTGGATTTTTTGAGACAAGGTCTCACTATGTAGTCAAGGCTGGCTTTGACTCACTACACAGCCCAGGCCGGTCTCGAACTCACAGTGATCTTCTTGCCTCAGCCTTTTATTGGCATGAACCACCACATCTGGAAAAAAAATCTTGTTTTAAAATATAAATCAATTCGGGCCAGGGATTCAGCTCAGTGGCACAACACCTGCCTTACAAGCACAAGGTCCTGAGTTCAATCCCCAGAACTACAAATAAATAAATAAATACCATATCTATATGGTCACGATCAGCCTGGGCTACACAGTGAACTCAGGGCCAGCCTCAACTACAGAGCAAGACCCTGTCTCAAAAAAAAAAAAATTGGGCTGCAGCTGTAGCTCAGTGATACAGTGCCTGTGCTCAATCCCTAGTATTTATGTATCTTTACCTATATATCTCTATATGACATAGGTAAATTTTATTATATACACACACACACATCTCCTTGGATCAAGAGATCAGACTGCAAGATTCTGCTAGAGAAATGTCAGCACGCAGGCATCAAGCCTTTAAGAGTTTCCCCCCAAAAAACTGTTAAGACTGGACATTCATCAACAGAGTTATGGCTAAAGTCCACTGTCCGTACAGTAGTGTGACAGCAATTAGAGAGAATGGGACAGACTGTCACATACTGAAGGACAGGAAAGGAGAGGAGCAGGGCAGGAAATGTGTGGAACCCCCATATGTCTATTACTACTAACAACATCATGTGTGTAACATCCCTGCTTTGCAAATGCAGTGCCTTTTGTGCATGTTACCAAAAAGGGGGACTAAGAGGCCATAAAGCGAAGTATCATGCAGAACTAACTCTGGGAAATAAGAGAAGGGTCATCGGTGGAAAAGAAAGATATAGGCAAAGAAGTTTTTTTTTTAACGTAATTCTGTATTCATACATCAGTACTGAAAAAAACCTAAGAAAGCCGGGTGTGGTGGCAGCTGCTTGTAACGCTAACAGTTGGGAGGCTGAGTCAGGAGGATTCTGAGTTCAAGCCCAATCTGGGCTATACAGCAAGCTCAAGGCCAGCCTGGACAGCTATGCCTCAGTTCCATTCCCAGCACTGGGAATACCGCACTGAGAAGACAAGGTTCCTGCTCTCTGGACCTTATACTTCCTGGTGGGGGAAACAATAAAGAAAACGGCATGCAGCTGCACATGTTATGATAAAGATAAGAGGTGTGACGAGTAAAAATGGGGCCGCTCTAAACTGGGTGGTCAGCAATGGCAGAGGAGCCAGCTGTGAGTGATTCTGGGGAAGGAGCACTTCAGGTGGCAGCAGGCCTGGGCACAGCAGGAAGGAAGCCCAGGGAGGCCAGGGGAGTCGGCGGGGCCAGGCACGCCTGGCTCAGTGGCACTGCAAATAGTATCAGATGCATGGGATTTTCTTAATTAAGCTTTCTTACCTGAAACTTAAATTTTTATGGTACCTATGCTAGCATTTGTCCAGTGTTAGACTGGTTATAATAGTATTTTTACTTTTAAGAGAAAAGTCAATTAAAGTAATAGAAAAATTAGGAGCAAGGACTGTAGCCCTGTGGGAAAGCACGTACTAAGCATGTGCAAAGCCCTGCATTCAATCCTGGGGCTGAAAAAAGAAAAAAGAAAAAATGCCAAGGCCATGCTGGCTTTTCCTTTTCATAACATAAATACTGCAGTCAACGAAGTTGATCCCACCTCTATTATCTTCTTTAGGATCTGTCGAAATCGAAGAGTTAAAGCATCAGATTTTTTCTTCAGGAGGTTTCGGCCTGTCTGTGCTCCTTTTAAACGAGCCTTCATGATAGTCTGTGCCCTGCAGAAACAACATTAAAGACATTTACTGTCACAGAAGCCCCTCTGAGACACGGTATTAAAATTATTCTTTATCCTTTAAAATGAGGGTAAGAGGGCCAGGGATTTAGCTCAGTGGTTCTGCCACCTGCATCGCAAGCACAAGGATCCCTGGTACCAAAAAATTAACAAACAAACAAATAAATATTTTTTAAAATGAGGGTAAGAAAATAGGATCTGAAATTGGTAAGTTTAACTGGTTTCTCAGTATTATAGATTTCTACCAGAGTTTTCCATAAATAAGTTTATTTACTTACAACACAGTTCTACAATCAGTATCTGGAATAAGTATTCATTAAATAATAAATACTATCAGGAGCCTTATTTTATGCCAGCATAGTTTAAATACTTATTTGATTTATAAGTAAAAATAGGGTGTAACGTTTCAGATACATTAGAACTGTAGTATCAAGGATAAAAATAATCTACCCACTAAAATACACCAATTGGTACGCTGAGGGTTTAGCTCAGTACGAGAGTGTTTGTCTTTCACACACACACATAAGACCCTGGGTTCAAGGCCCACCACAGCAAACAAAAATCTGAAATGTAATCACCTTCAGGACCAACAATTCCATTTTGAGGAATTTATCCTATAGATTTATTCCCACATGTGCACAAAAACATGTACAGGACATGTACACATACATGTGCTCTAGCCTTATTTGTAAGAGAAAAAGGGTAGAAACAACTGCAATATTAAATAAATCATGGTTTCCCATATAATGGAAGGTTATGCAGTCATAAAAAATGAGGAAAGTTGGTCTCCATGTACTTTGGGTACTACACTGTCTTACTTACCTAAAGCAAGGAAATACTGTGCTTATATAGATGCAGAGAACAGTTCTACAAAGGATTCCCAGGGCTGAGTGAAAAATATGGACTTTTTACTACTATATTCTTTTGCATTTTTTTGCATTTTATTATATCTTCTATAACCAGTGTGGCATTTAAGTGTTTTGGTGGCAATCAATACCTAATCTTAATCACTGAATCAATGTGTAAATGATTCTAGGTAGTAAATGGCACATACAAGACCCCTAAGTGATGAACTTACAGGGAAGCCTCGTCTTATTTCCACCCTCTCCCACCAGAAGCCCCATACCAAAGTTTTGTTTGCTTTATCTTTTGCAGTGCCAGGGATTAAACCTGGGGCCTGGCACACACTGGGCAAGTGCTCTACCACTGTGCCACAACCCAGCCCTCCCAAAGAAGGCCAAGAATATAACTGCAAGAGCTGCCAATTCTCTTCTCACTGCTCTCTGCCAGACAAAATTTAATTAACTAAAAATATTCTAATAGACCAGCCCCAGCAAGGAAGGTGAGATTTGGGGAGGTCGCTCCAAGATCTGCCCTCCCTCCAACCTGCTTGGGCCCATTCAGCGGGATGGGCAGCCGCACCCTCCCCTACCTGTACCGCCACCAGCTCCAGCAAGAAAGGTAGCCACAAGGGCACCACCAAAGCAACCCCCTCCAGACCTCCTGATTGTGCCAGTCTTTGGACCCACTCTGCAGAGGCAGAGGTGGTCATAAAGGGTTTTTTGTTTTTTTTTTTTTTTTTCCTGAGCTCCCAACTTTGAACATCTTTAAAGAAAGGGCAGGGGAAACCTGTAGTAGAACCATGTGGAGTTCAACACTGCAGGTCGGGGAACTCAATCTGGGCCTTGGTGCCTGAGGTCAGTCTGAGTCCCAGGGATCTGCCATTGGCAAGCCGAGATCAGGGGACTTAGGTCTGCACATGGCTGTGCATGTAGTATATTATGACAGCAGAGATATAGTCTGAAAGAGGCCACTCAAATTCATTTTTCTTCTTTCTTTTCCTCATTCCACTCTGCAAATTCTTTTTTTCTGTCCTCTTTCTCCAACTCAGTCTCTTGCTCCACCATATTATCCCTCATCTCCCTTCCTATTCCCGCTCCTGCCCTAACTCAGACTTCTTTTATCATTTTTTCTTTTCTCTTTATGTTTTTTTCTTCTGTCATTTTACCTCTCATGGGCCAATAGTTTCAAGGGAAAGTGAGCCCCTATTACTGTTAAGGGGATACATTCCTGTCCTCATTCTTGCACTCCGTATATCCCTTTTGAATTTAATAGTTTCCTAAAGATAGTGTGGTCATTCTATGTCCTCTGGCTTCACTTGAAACCTTCTCCAATTGTCTTACTTATCTACTCATGTTGTCCTAACTCTGTCTAAGCCCCCATCCTAAAAGGTAAAGATGCTATATTGAAAAGTGTATTCACGGAAAACATACTTTGGACTGCTTCTTGATTTAAATTTAACTCACATGGTTTAAAGGTGAAAGATTAATGACAACCACAAGTGGTCAATTTGCAAGTTGTGCTTGATCCTATTGTGTTGCTGATTGTACTAATTGGGATAAAAGATTGTGATTGATTTAATGAGTTGTTTTCTCTGATATTATGAAAATGAGAATGTCTATGAGTCATTAGAGACTCAAAAGCTAAAGTGCAACTATATCAGGAAGATTTAAATAATAACCCAGAAATTAAACCAAGGACAACCCAACAACAAAAATAAAAATGAGAAAACACTTAAGCAAGACACAAAGACAGACATCCAGTTCACCAATGGCAAACTCTAGGGCAAATGAGGATGAAAAGACTGATAGTGAACCAACAGGACACCCTGAACCCATAGCACAGGAAGTAACAAAACAGATCAATCAGGCTCTAGAAAAATTCAAAACAGAAATAATTTCCCAGATAACCATAGAGATGGTGAGCAAAATGGAAGTTATGATTCGAGACTCTAGAAAAGAAACTGAGAAAAAAATAGATGAGCTCAGGACCATGATAGAAGCCATGAAGGCCCAGCATAAGAAATGGAAACAATGAATGCCCAACAGAGGAAAGAAATGGGATCTGTAAAACAGATTCAAACAGATATCCAGGAGATTAAAAACTCTATTGAAAGCATATGCAACAGAATAAAAGAATGCGAAGATAGAATCTCAGGTATAGAAGATAGGATTGCAGTCAGTGACCCTGAAAAGAAAGGTCTCTTAAAAACAGTAGGGGATAATGAGAAATCAATCCAACAACTCCTAGATTATGCAAAGAAGAATAACATGAGACTGATAGGAATCCATGAAGTATCAGGGGAAAATACAAATGATTTTTAAAAAGCTGTTCACAGAATTAATGACAGAAAACTTCCCAAACGGAAGGGAAGAATTAGACATACAGATAAGTGAGGCATATAAGACTCCAACTAGCCACAATCAAAAAATCTACACCTAGACATATAATAATCAAGATCCCAGAAACCCAAAAGAAGAACAAAATACTACAAGCAGTAAGAGAAAACAAACAAATCACATGCAAAGGAAAGCCCATTAGAATCACAGCAGACTTTTCAACACAAACCCTCAAGTCAAGGAGAGCCTGGAGTGAGGTATTTCAAGTCCTAAAAGAAAACAACCCCCAACCTAGATTGATGTATCCTGCAAAACTCTCTTTCAAAATGGTTGGGGAAATAAGACACTTCCATGACAAAGAACACCTGAGAAACTTCATGAATACCAAACTAGCACTACAGGGAATTCTAAACAATATCCTAGAAAAAGAAAATGAAGGTCACAACACCATGAGGCCCAAAAGACCAAATCAAATAGGCCAGGCAAGAAACTAAAAGGGGGGGGAGTAAAAAGAGTCAACAAGAGGACAATAATATGACAATAATAAGTCAGTACATATCAGTTATAACCATCAATGTCAATGGCCTAAATTCACCAATCAAGAGAAACAGACTGGCAGAATGGATTAAGAAGCAAAATCCAAAAATATATTGTATACAAGAAACACACCTAGTGCAAAAAGAAGCCCAAAGACTGAAAGTGAAAGGATGGAAAACAATTCTCCATGTGACAGGAGCCCAGAAAAAAGCAGGGGTAGCAATCTTATTCGCAGACAAAGAAAATTTCAAACCAAAACTGACTAAGAGAGACAAAGAAGGCCACTACATCCTTGTAAAGGGAACAATTCAAGAGGAAGAGATGACAATCATAAACATATATGCACCAAATATTAATGCCCCCAACTGTATAAAATAAATATTAAGTAACATGAAAAACGAAATAAGCTCTAATACAATTGTAATGGGGGATCTGAATACCCCATGATCACAAATAGACAGATTATCTAGGCAGAAAATCCACAATGAAATACTAGAACTCAAACAAGCTTTTGAACGCATGGACTTAATAATAGACGTCTATAGAGTGTTCCACCCCACAAAATCAGAATATACATTCTTTTCAGCTGTACATGGGTCATTCTCCAAGATAAACCACATAATAGCTGACAGAACAGGTCTGAATAAATGCAAAAGAATAGAAGTTATCCCCTGTATATTATCAGATCACAGTGCAATCAAGCTGGAGATCAATAGCATAAGAAACCGTAGGAACTTCACAAACACAGGGAAATTGAACAACACTCTCTTGAACAATCAATGGATCACAGAGGAAATTAAAGAAGAAATTAGACAGTTTTTACAAATAAATGAAAATGCCAATACAACATACAGGAATCTATGGGACACAATGAAAGCAGTTCTACATGGAAAATTCTATCACTGAATGCCCACAGTAGGAAAACAGAGCAAGCTCAAACAGATGATGAATCTTAGACTACTAGAAAAACAAGAGCAAGAAAAACCCAAAGCTCGAACAAGAGAGGAAATTATAAAGATTAGAGCAGAAATCAATGCAATGGAAACTAAGAAAATGATACAAAAAATAAATGAATCGAAGTGTTGGTTTTTTGAAAGAATAAAATCGATAAACCCTTAGCTAACCTTATCAAAAAGGAAAGAAAAGGTTCAGATCCATGCAATCAGGAATGAAAAAGGCGAGGTCACAACAGAAATCCAGAGGATCATTAATACCTACTTTGAGAATCTGTACTCTAATATAATGGAAAACACAGAAGAAATGGACA